GGACCCTGGACATTATCAGCCCAGCTCATGGCTATTTTCTGGCCACCAGTTTGTTTGTGAGTCTTGTCCTTGGCTGGGCTCACCTTCCTCTGCCACTTTCCCATCCCTCCTCAACCCCTCTGCTGTCCTTGCACAGGCTGGGCCATACCGATAGGCAGAGTGCACCGGCCTGAGGCATTTAGCTCCTCCAGCAAGATGGTCATGATGGGCACCAACTTCTGCTTGCTCTCCTCCGTGGACACGAAGCTGCTCTCTAGCTGGATGGAGCATGGACAGCATGGTGGGTACATCCCAGAACCTTTGGCTGACATCCTGCACTGGCAGGTTCCTAGGCCTGGAGGGCTTTGGAGACATGCAAACACCTTCCCCAACTCTGCCTGCCCATCCACCCAAGCCCATTGTACTGCAGACCTCCAGTGTGGTCAGGTAGCCTGCCAGCTTTTTGACGATGGGCTCAAGGGCACAGGTCTTGGCCTGGGCATCACACACGAAGCCTAGGTTAAAGAGCAGGGCATTGCGGCTGTACTTCTTGTGCTCGATGCACACGGGGCAGCCAATCAGTTTCTTCTCCATGGCTGTGCTGGATGGTGGGTGGGGGAACGGGTGGGAATAGAGTCAGCCTCCTTCCACCCCAGAGTCTGACCACTCCTGGGAGTTCCCCCACCCCCCAGCTAGGGCCTTACACAGTGATGAGCTTGTTCTGCAGCTCTGGCTTGGTGATGATGTACACCTGGACGGTGTCAAATAGCTCCCTTGAGATGAAGTCCTCGGGGACCTAGGGAAGGGAATGACAAGAAGTCCCTTAGTGGACCTTGTGACTTGGTGGATTACACAGGGTGATCCCCAAGGCCTAAGCCCTCTTCTCCAGGGTTTCTCCTTTCTTCCATCCACCCAAGGCTACTACTCTTTTGTGTTTCCAAACACATGCGCCTCCTGGCTTTTGCATATGCTGTTCCCTCTACCTGGCACACTCCTACCTCACCTAAATTCCTGTGCATACAGGGGTACTACTGGACCGACCACCCTGTCCCATCTTTCCTAGGACCTGGCAACTCCCCTGGGCCCCCATAACCCGATTTCCCACAATCACTGCCTATGTCATGTTTGTTTGCCTCGCCACACCAGGAGCCTGGGACCTGGTCCTCTTGGTTCACTATTCTCCGCGAATTAAGGAGTGGCGTGCCTGCGTGCAGTACAGGGCACAGGGTTCCACCGCTTTCAGGCAGTCGGCTGAACTCCCCTGAGCGTCCCTCTACCTCCCAGTCCGCGAGCCCGGATGGCACCTGATAGGTGATCTTGGGTCCCAGCGTGGGGTGGAACTCGCTGAAGAATATGCATTCGATGCGGCAGCCACTGCCCATGGCGTTAATGGGGCCCGGGACCGTGGCTGGCACCTCTATGTCTGGGAGCACCTGTCAGAAGCAGCCCTGAAGCCTGGGACACCGGGTCAAGCACGCCTGCGCACTGACAGAGCCAACACACCGTCCGCTCAACAGCGCCTGCGCACCGCGACTCAGCCGTGTGGCTGTGGGGGACTGTTCCAGGAAGTCCCGGGTGGGTAGGCGCTCGGACCCGGAAGTTAAGCTGCTCCGCGACGGAGCGGTAGCGCCCGCGGCAGAGCCCCGAAAATCCCACTTTCTCGGAAGAAATCACCGCGTCGGGTCGGCCCTGCGGGTGAGGCAGGCGAATCCCTAGCATGTAAGGGCAGCGTGCCAGAGGCACTTGGGGTGGCTGTGCGCGAAGGGATTCAGGCTGTAATTTCGACGCAACTGGGAACTACAATTCCCGTGGTGCTTCGTACCCTTCCAGCAAGCGCTCCCGCCCGGCGACGGCGTGGTGCATGCTGGGATTTGTAGTCTATTACATGGCCTTGCGCATCCTACCTGGAAGGTGGGCCAGTGACCAGTGTCAATTCAGAAGCGTGTACACTCTGACAGGCCACCAGTCTCAACTATTCCTGGTGCCTAGCTTAGTACTGTTCCTTCATATCTTAACTTCTTGGAAGAGAGTGGCATTCCTGCCCTGCAACTCTTGCTCCAGTGAGAGGAGTGGACAGTGGGCACCAGAGGCCCTTGCTCACTCTACTATGCTTTCAGGCTACAGCCACCGGCCTGGCTGACCATGGCTCTTTCTGTGGAGACTGAATCGCACATATACCGAGCTCTGCGCACTGCCTCTGGGGCTGCTGCCCACCTTGTGGCCCTAGGCTTCACCATCTTTGTGGCTGTACTTGCCAGGCCTGGCTCCAGTAAGTAGAATTCATAGTTGACTTATGGGAAGGAAAGTGCCACTTCTTCTGGGGAGCAGGGGCAATAGGAAGCCTTGGGTCTGACTCCTGGGAAAGGCCTGGCTGGCAGAGGGACATGCTATGCTGGAGGGGTAAGTGGGGTGGAGTAGGTAAGTGTGGAAGCTGGGCCAGCTTGGCCAGGTCCCACAGAGTACCTGGCTGCTCTTGTCTTGTGCTCCACTTGGCTGCCTCCTGGAAAGTGCAGGGGGAAGGAGGGAGGACTGCCAGAGGAGTGGGAAAGCATAGCCTCTGATCT